TTTTATTTGATCATGAATATTCCAAGACTGTTACATATTATAAAAGCTTAAAAATATTCACAATAGACATTGCTTTTATTTGATGGTTAAAATGTTCTCATATGAATTATTAACAAAATATAATGACATATTTTAGCAAACATTTTAATACGGTTTTTCTTATAAGCTAACATTTATCAAGAACATGTAATTTTTTGTATTTTTGTTTATTGGAAAAAGAATTAGTGTTATTTAACTCATATCGTTATTTAACTCTATTGAGTTTAGCACTACAGCTTTTTTTCCATTCAAGTCAGAATTCCTTGTGCAGAATAAATCTTCTGAATAGTTTAGCAATCATTATAGAAAGTTTTTTATATAGTTCTCCAAAGGGAATTGCTTATTTTATTTTATTTTAATTCACCTCCTCAAGGTCGAGAAGGCCACTACAGACGAGGAGGCTACTTATTTGTGGTTATAACCCTCTCTCAACTCTATAACTGGGAAACACCAATCTTGACGAACAAGGCCGCTGCGCAGAGAAACAAGTTGAGCGCGGTACTACCAGGGATGTGGTGGGGATCGAACTCGGAACCATTGTTTATGAAGCGAGCGCTCTACCACTACATCACTACTGCATATATATTGCAATCGTTAATCATTATTCTAAACGAGTATTAGAAATGATGGTCCAGAGAGAATTGGTTTTGTAACGTTACTGTTATAACATTCCTAATAATCCTGTTGTTATAACAATCACTACAATATATTATGGAAATTCATTAAAATCTTAGAAAGTTAACCACTAAATCTGACATTTCCTTTAATATATTCACCAAAACTCTATATTTTGTGCCAGCAGTACTTCAATGATGCCTAATTAGTCATTAAACCAAGAAGATCTTGAAGAACAACAAAAAAAAAAGTTTGCGTTGTGTGCTTTGAGAAAGATAAAATAATTAGAGAAATCATTTTCCTAATCTATAGAAGACTTCAAAATTATTTTATCTTAAATTTAAATTTGACTAAGGAACATTATACTTCTGGTATCTGTTCTCGCAACAGAAAATTTCTGGAGCTTATTGAAAAAGGTATAAAAGAACCTGAAGCTCTTCCAGCACTATATGATTTTTCAGGAATAAAAATTTCCATTATTATAAGAAGTCAACCTACATGTGAATTTGCAGATTGTGTTGTTGCAAGGAAAACTCTATCTAGGATCTCTGGATTAGGAAAAAATTGAAAAAAATTTTGCAATCTCTTCTACCCAAAACTGTATGCTAAAGATGTCTATGTACAGTGGGACGTGGTTTACCGCACCCCTGCAATATCTTGATTCGCTAGGATAATCTTGAGACAGCACTGTCTAGAGGTTAGTGTGTATGTATTCCAAAGAAAATTAATTCCAAAGAAAACAGAATTAATAGTGAAATTAAGAAATTCTAAAATACTAGGGTTATGCAAATTTCAAACAGAAACTGTATTAAGTGTTTTTAGGAGCTGGAAAGGGAGTAACTTTTTAAAACCCAATCTAGAAGAAAGGCTTGTATTTCAAGAGTGTGTTTTAGGTTGTCTTTTTGATGTTGCAGAACTTCAAATCAATAAGTAAACAAAATATATAGTTTACTGTACGAATGTGTCTGAATGTGTCGAATGTACGAAATGTACGAATTTTACAAATGTACGAAATGTATGAATGTACGAAAATGTACGAATGTGTCTAGTTTACTGTACGAATGTGAATTAGCTAATAAATCAACTAGTGGAAAAAAGA